TTCCCTACATGCAGATGATCTGAGATCATGCAGCAGGGCATCTAATTACTCCAAAAGCTCATGTGAAATCAAGAAAAAATCTATCGGAGACCTCACATCTCATAACTCAGGATCTTTTCACTCAAACATTTCATCTACCAGTGAAGCAGAGGCAGTCACAGGTTTTACTGACAAGAAAAGCTTGAAAAGTACCACCAATGGCTACAGTGTATCCTCAAAAGGCTCGAAGAAGAGAAGCCATAGAGAAGAAAATAGCAAGCCATCATCCCTCTGCTCAAGTGTTTCAAGCCCTAGTGGAAAAGCTAGAGAGGGCCATGCCAAGATGAATTCAGAGGCCCCTTCTTCAAGACATGGAAGTATGAGTGAGAGTGTATGTTCAAGAGGTGACCTCTCAACTGAGACTGGGATAAGGAATGGAAATGCTGCAAGTGTCTCTTCAAGAGTCTCTTCAGGGTCAGAAGAAAAAGATAAATGCTTGTTGACACAGATGTCCCAGGAAAGTGATGACAGGTGTTCACAATCAAACATATCTCAGTCTTCAAAATCAAGGCAGATAAAAACTAAACATCTTCGTGTGAAGATGTCAAACTCCAGCCGAGCATCATTGTCCGATACTTTGTCAGTTTGTAGTATGCATTGCCCTGCCCCACCAAAAGGGAAGCCAAACAGCAAAAAAGTACGGTCAACCATGCTGAAGAATTCCTCCATTAGCAGCATAGGTACTGAATCAGTGCTGGGCACAGGAAAAGAGCAGAAAGAAATAGATTCCTCCAAAGCAACTTCCTATGGGTCTAAATCAGCTGCAACCGAAGTAAACGATCAGAAGAATAAAGAGATTGATGACTCTTGCAACAGAAAACTGGATGAAGACTTAGAAGGCACAGAGATGAAGGAGGAAGGGAGGGATTTAACGCCATCTACTCTACCGAATACATCTCCAGAAGAAGTTGTGCAAGAATGGCTAAGTAAAATCCCTCCAGAAACATTGCTTATGAAATATGAAATGGAGGATGGTGCAGAAGAGGAAGGTATAGAGGCAACCACTGAGATATCATACTGTACGAATGCTGAGGAAATCTCAGAGGATGAAAAAGCTGAGAAAAAGAATGTGGAGGAGGCTGAAAATGAGTCGAAGGATGAAGTGGGAAAAGAGATGGCAGAAGGCACTGCTGTTAATGAAGAGGCTGAAGAATGCATGAATCAGGAACACATCTTTGAGGCTGTGTCTGAAGCTGCCAAGGCCGATCAGGCAGAATGCAGCCAGTCAGTTTCATCCAGCCAAAATAACAACAGAAAAGACCTGCCAACCTCTGTCCAGACTTCCGTCCAGATTATGAAGGCCTTGCTCAGTTCAAAACATGAAACAAAATTTGACCGATCAAACAGTTTGCCTGAAGTGTCCCCCACTATGGGAAGAAAACTGAGTAACTCCGCCAACATTTTGATTACTTGTCTTGCCAGTCTCCAGCTCCTTGATGAAGAGTCAGAAGATCCGTCAGATAAATCAAAACGTTTGAATAAGCCAAGGTATATGGAGCTGCTAAATATTTTTCAAGCCCTCTGGTTTGGATGCACAGCTGAAAAAAGTGGCCCAAGTTCAGGTCAAGAGGCAAATGAGCAGGCAAAGACAGCCTCCGGGTTTAAAGCCCCAAAATCTGTAGATTATGACTTCACTCCCATGTCCTCCTCTGGGGTTGATGTCAGCAGTGGTTCTGGTGGCTCAGGAGAAGAGATTACAGCTGGTGCCAGGGACTGCACTTTAATGGCACAGAAAACTGCTGGACTGAAATCAGCTGCAGCTGGACAGGTGGAAAATGTAGAGGTTGGCACTGAACTGACTGAGGCTGAGGAGCAAAGTAAAGAGGAAGTGCAGTCTTCCCGACCTTCGACAGCCTGCTCAAAATCAAAAGCTGAGGAAAAAGCACAGTCTACTATAGAGGAATCTGTGATTCAGGAGGCAGAAGAGCATAAGGAGGATCAGTGCATTAACTGTGAGAATGGTCATGAGGAAAAGGGAGAAAATGAAAATGAAGAAAACAGCAAAACAGTTGAAAATGGAGACCAAGAAGAAGCTGAAGCTGTAAAGGGTGAACTCCCAAAAGAAAATCTTAAAGAGGAAGCCGATCAGCTAACCACTACCAATGATACAAATGTCAATGATGCCGATTGTGGGACAGACCTGAAAGCTGATTTGGAAGAGCAGCTTGAAAAAGTGTCTCCAAATGACCCAAAGCCCAATGTCAATAAGGCTACCAGTGTGGGCACATCCCTTGTCCAGCAAAACTCCATGGACCCAGACCCAATCTGGGTCCTGAGGTTGCTCAAGAAAATCGAGAAGGAGTTCATGGCTCACTATGTCAGTGCCATGAATGAGTTCAAAGTCAGGTGGAACCTGCAGAACGACCAGCAGATGGATGAAATGATAATGGAGCTGAAGGAGGAAGTGAGCAAAAGGATACAAAAAAGCATAGAGAAGGAACTGAGGAAGATCAAAACCAGAGCAGGGAAGAAGACACCAAGACCTCCGGATGAACCACTCAAGCGCGAGTCAACACTCCAAACTGAGCAGAGGAGACGGCGATTGCAGACTATGCATAAAAAGTCACTCTTCAGTGACAAGAATGGAACCCAGAGTAGGCTAGAGGACACATCAGACTTATCATTTGATGTAGATGAAGACACAGCATTTAGTGCAGCTTTTGAGGCCAGTATCAGCAAACAAACGAGTGAGGAGGAATACTGCCCATGTGACTCTTGTGTGAGGAAAAAAATGGCTTCCAAGCCAGTAAGAAACCCAGTGGTGGCCACCAATGCTCCAGTCATGAAAGCATTTGATTTACAGCAAATCCTGAGGCTGAAGAAAAATGATGAGGAAGCTTGTGGCTCAGAAGCAGCCCAGGACATCAACACAATTCCCAGCAGTTCTGTGGAGGAAGCAGCAGAAAATGACAATCTAAACAAGGAGAATGGTGAGGGTGAACTTCAGCCAAGGGAAACAGAAGTGAAAGGCAATGAAGAAAAGGAGCCAGAATTAAATGAAGTGGACAGCTCAATATTGAACAGAGATGAAGAAGCACTTGAAATATCAGAAAGTCAAAACTGTGAGACAGAGGATGAGGTAAAGGATGAAGAAACGAAAGAAGAAGAAAAGGAAGAAGCAGAAGAAGTGGGGGAAGAAATGAAAGAGAGAGAAGAAGAAGAGGAAACAAAAGAGGAAGAAGAAGAGAAAGAGGAAGAAGAAATTATGAAGGCAGAAGAGGAGGAAACAAAAGAGGAGACAGAGGGAGAAATGGAAGAGAAAGAAAATGAGGAAGTAAAAGAGGAAGAAACAGAAGAAACAAAAGAGGAAGAGAAGGAAGAGGAGGAAGAGGAAGTGAAGGAGGAGGAGGAAGAAACAAAAGAGGAGGAGGGAGAAACAAAAGAGGTGGAGGAGGAAGTGGATGAGAAGGAGGAGGAAACAAAAGAGGAGGAGGAAGACATGGAGAAGGAAGATGCCAAAGAGGAAGAAGAGGAAGTGAAGGAGGAGGAGGAGGAGGAGGAGGAGGAAGAAATAAAAGAGGAGGAGGAAGAGGAAGTGATGGCAGAGGAGGAAGAAACAAAAGAAGAGGAAGACATGAAGGAGGAAGAAGAAACAAAAGAGGAGGAGGAAGAAGTGCAAGAAGAGGAAGAATTAACAAAGGAAGATGAGGAAGCAAAAGAACATGAAGAAGAAACAAAACAAGAGGAGCAGGGAGTGGAAGAAGAGGAAGAAAACCCAAAAGAGGAGGAAGAAGAAGCAAAAGAGGAAAAAGAGGGAGCAAAAGATGAGGAAGAAACAAAAGAAGAGGAGGAAGAAGCAAATAAGGAAGAGGAAGAACAGGAAGAAGAAGAAACTCAAAATGAAGAACAGGATGGTGATGAGCAGTCCAAAGCTGAAGATGAAGCTGACAATGAAGCTGAAGAAGCAGAGGAGCCAGAGGACGAGGACATTGGGGCTGATGATGAGGAAGTGACATCTGAATGCAGAGGAGATGCTGGAACTGATAACAATCCTGAAGGAGATGCTGCAGAAGGAAGTGAAGAAGCTGAGCAGGATGAAGCTGCGGCAGTGGAAGATGCAAATCCAGAGTCAGAAGGTGAGGCATGTTCAGATGAGGAGGAAAACAACAGTGAAGAATGTGACAAATATGATGAGAATGATGAGGAACCTACCAGTGACGACCTTGACAAAGCACATGATAAACACAAAAACAAAGGCAACAACAAGGTTTCTGTGAAAGCGTCAAAGGTCAAAGGCAAAAAACCCAGCAAAAGGCTACAGGCTCTGAACAAAGCAGCTGCCTTTTCTTGTTATTCTTCTGTGGGAAACTTCTCACAGCAATCCCAGAAGGGGTCTGAAGATGAAGGTGAAGAATGCAAAGATGACAACAACCCCATGAACAACCACCCCAATGGAGAGGTTCAAAGTAGTGATAGCAGCAAACCCTCGCAGATGTATCCTGACAGCGAGGAAGAAGAGGAGGACAAAGCATCTTCGTGCACTGATCCTTTGGGAGATGAGGACCAGGCAGATGCTGAAGGTGCAGATCCAAAGGAGAATGAACATACTGATGAGGTTCGGGCTTCTAAAAAGAAAGACGACTCTGATGAGATTGACCAGGATGACCTGGACTTCTAGAACTGCTTATCTAAAACTGCTTTTTTCTTTCTTTCTTTCTTTCTTTTTTTTAAAGTATATTTTCATTACGTATTACAGTATCTCCAGTGAGTTGAGCCATCGTAATTGGCTTTTCTTCTGAGTTAAATGTGGTAAACTTGATCTTGATTCTTGTGAGTAACGTTGCAATTACCTGCCCTCATTTCTAGAGGGCTAGTAAACTCATTAAGATTTAGTGGTTTCAATAGAAAAGTGGTTTTGGGAAAAGGAAGGCTGTTTTGATTGTGATACCTTCTTGTTCCCACTCTTTAAGCCATGCTGTTTGCTGCTTGAGCGATCTGTGGCTCTGCTGGGCATCATCTCTGAGTGACTTCAAGATGCCTTTTGTCTGTTGCATGCCATTATCCTGGTAAGATTGCCAATGCACAGAAACAGGAAAAAATCTGGATTCATTGCCAAAGTCTGGTCAGAGCCCACAGAGATGTACATTCATTTTCCTCCCTCCCTTGCTCTTCCCTCCCCTCCCCTCCCCTACCTTCTCTGCACTCAGAAAAGGGGTCGGAGATAAATTGTTTCCCCACTTTCTCTATTCTTCTTTAGCAGAGGTTGAGATCATTATTCACTTCACTGGAAGTCCTCAACACCCAGAAAGATCGTTCCAGTAGATCTCTCCTCTTCCGGACCACCAATCTGTTTGTACTGTGTCCATCACTGTAGTACGTAGTGATGATGTAGCGGTAGATAACAATGAAGAGTTAATTCACCTGTCAGGTATCTGAGAAGTGGCTGAGTGCAATATTGACCAAATTAGAAATGAGTAAAGTCCACTCCTTGTGGTTACCTTTGCTATGCCAATGATGGAATCTAAGCACTTTACAATCATCTGGGATCCTTCAGATAATTTGGTACGAGGCCCTGTTCCGAAGCTAATAGGATTTGCAGTTACTCAGTGTCTCACCCTTGCAGACAAACAGCAATATTTAAGCTAATTTTAACTTTACTGTGGAAAAGGTTTGGGTTTTTGTGCTGCAGCAAACAACTGGAAGAAGCTCAAGCATTTACTGGAGAGGTTGGACTTTACAAATCATGCTAGAGCTGCAGACTTCATTTAACAACTCTTTTCTACCAGATTTTTTTTTTTTTTTCCCTGGGGCAATATATACATTTTTTAATTAATGCCCCACTAACGTCAGGAGAAGTTTGACCATGCCTCAGCTGCATACATGTCTATACCTCTTTGGGAAGCAGCCCATTTTATCAATAATTTGCAGGGAGAATAAAACAGCAAAAAACTGAGAGGGTGAAAACGAAATGCCTTAAATTGCATTGTGAAAAAGTATGTGTGCAGTATTGTGCCAGGTTCGTGAAGGTGCATGCAGACATGTTGAAATAACCAGTATTCAAAATCAAATAATTACTATTGTTATCATTTTAAGAATTAATTTCTGAAACTCGTAGCCAATCAATTGATTTCCAGAGATAAGATGCAGTTCACTCAAATTAAGAATTGGATTCAGCTCCAGATGTGCATACTTAATTTTAGGTGTCTGAGAAATAGGGGTCTATGTGGAGTATTCAGTGCAGAGCTAGACCTCAGCTGAGGTGCCCTCAGTGCCATCTGAGATCCTCCAGGGAGTATAAGAGAACCACACCATCTTCCACACACAGAATTTAAGGAAGACCTGGGCCTTCCTAAAAAGAAGGGTAACTTCATCTGTTAGTGTCATGTGGATGTCTTGGGTTTCCTGGGACATCTCAGGTGGGACTACATCTCTTTCTAGAGATTCAACTCTCAGTTGAATGCTGAACCTATCTCAAAGTTTGATATACTGGCTCATCTGGTAGTCTCAGTTCCATGTTTTCTCTGTAGACATTTCCACACCTAAGATTACTAGATTTCCGACAGCTTAGGGTCTGTGTAGTTGTTTAAACATAGAAGTTTAGTGCCAGATGAGAGGGCCTAGGAAACTCAGTATCACGCCCCAGTGTTGGTCTGATGGGGCGTAGATCAACTGTAGGTCCAGATTCATATCACAAGCTCCTTGTAAATGTCAGGGCTGCTCCAGGGCATCTTAAACTGCATTAGTCATGGATGTAAAAAACCTGAATCATAGAATCCAAGCCTGAAATTGTGTAAACAAATCCTACCTCAAGAAACTGAAGTTCAAGGTTAAAACTAAATGTTAAAACTCAATTGGCTTTGAACTACAGGAAAAAGAAAACTTATTCTCCTCTGACACAGCAATACTAACGTATTTTCTAGTAGCTCAGTATTGCACTAACAGGTTAATTCCCACATCTAGAGTACACGATGAACACCATACCTGCTCCAAGGGCCAGTCCTGTAGCTTCTGTACCATCAAAGCCCCCTTTAAGGTGCAATTTGAAGGTTCAAGCAGAAACTGTTGTGCATGAGCTCAGCTCTGGCCTTTGCACATAAGTGAACATTGCTTGTATGAGCTGAATTTGGTTGCGAACGCCTTCAAGCACCCACTGTTCACAACAGACTTGATAGTCCTACTGAATCCTCCTTGTCTAGACCTATGCTTGTGGTTAAAGACAGCACCCACGCAGCATCAGCGATCCCTCTGGCATTTACTGTCTGGGTCAGAAAGAAAGAGCGCTGCTGCAGCACAGTTTTCCCCTGCTGTAGTGATGTCCCATGACATCAATATTCTGACTTTGTATTAAACCTTTCCAAGGTTTCCATAAGCCAATTCAAAAACACTTTATAAGGTGTCCAGAGTGAGAAATGTCAAAAAATACAGTTACGTCCATTGTTTTATAATTAAGGGAAAGGCCCCAAGGAGAAAGTTACTGCTGGACTGGATTCATGCCCCTAACTCCAGGCGTGTGCATCAGGTGTTTTGTCCTGGGGTCTCCAGGCAATGTGAAGAGACAAGGTCTCCCAGCAATTATTCAGAGTGTGACACAGGACTGTCATCTGGAGGGGTGAAGCCCATGGGATGTAGCATCCTAACCCAAGCACTTTGAGCAAATGTTTGAATTTGACCTGGGAACTACCCCCCACAACTTTGAAGTTGGCCAGGTGCCACCAGGCTGCTTGGTTCAAAACCCAGCCTAGGGCCACTGGGTGAAGGCTGCAGCACCTTTGTTCACTGATGTCTGCTAGTGAGCTACTCCAGGTGACAGGGAAAAGCTGTTTACCACCAAAAGAAGGCTGTTATGCAGTGCTTATCAGTCCCTGCAGGAGAACTGCTGGCCCAGCGGTGGCCCTGCAGCATGCGCTTCTCCAAGTCAGCAGTGGCTGGCAGGTACAGAGTCAAGTGTAAAAGTATCTTCATTTCACAGGGAGTAAAGTGAAATGTCTGCTTCCTAATGCATCAATTCTTGCAGGATTCAGAAAGGCACTGAGCCGGGTAGTCATAGCTCTGATATTGGCATGAGACATACACTGGAAGTGGAGGGGTACACGTTGACTTAACTGTAAATGTTTCTGATGAAGATGTCTTCCCTCTGAGCCCACCATCCAGAATCCCATTATAACCAGTGGGGAGAGTGAGGCAAAGAGTGTGATTCATCTGCTGGAGACAACTACGTTAGGAGGAGATGAATTACACTCTCATCAGGACTATTTCTCTCTGCTGAGTGCATGGGGAGTCTAGACAGGTTGCTCAGATGGAGATGTCTCATCTGGGAAGAGCTGATCCCAGCATAGCTACCCAAAAGCATCTTGCAATGTTTACGGTGGTGACTTGCAGACTGCCAGGCAACAGCTCAGACCAGTCATCCCATGGAAGTTTTAAAAGTGTTTGTTGGCTCCAAGATCAGCCTTCTCTGCTGTTGCTAAAAGCCACTGCTGGAACTTAACGGGTTAGCGGAAAGGCAAACATTTCCCAGGATTTCTCCTCCAGCCGTTGACTTCCCTTATTTTAAAGACACTTGTGCATAGTTAACATCGCACCCCATCCGTGCTGAGCTGGTAAATTCCCCACATGCAGCAAAACAAGGAGAAAGAAATCAAATAAAACACAAAAATGCAATCATCAAACCATGAAAACTAAAATCACTTGGGTGTCGTGTCCCCCCCCCTCCCCTTCATGAGACATGTCCCACTCATGTCTGTGTTTGCCACCTTCTGTGTTTGGCCAGTGACTCACATGCTGTGCCTGTCCCCCTCGGGGCAGCGCGGGGCTCTGCACCCATACAGCCCGCTCACAAAATGCCCCATTCAGAGGGGCTGAGGAGCTGTTACGGTGTTGGTCCAGGAGATGGACGTTGCTGAAGTCGGTATTCCTTTCCTCCATCGGTCTCTCCCAGGATCTCCCAGAGCATCCGTGAACGAAGCAGGCAGCTGAAAAGGATCCCTCGCAGTTACATCCTTCGCACTTGCGCCGCTTCCAAAGTTTACATGTCCCCTCGGTGGGTATGACTCACACGCGTGTTCGGTCTTGCTGCTTCCCTCTCCCTCTTACAGCTCGGGAACACGTGTTACCAGCCTGTCACGCTTCTACCGGCTGGAAAGATAAGGCTTGTCACCACCTGGAGGGGATTACAGCTGCTGTCTTTCAGCAGAGCTGAGGAGGAGGGGAGGAGAGGCAATGCGAGACTTGCACAGCTGTGCAGCGTGTTCGGCTGTGCATAGCTCTATGGCATGTTTTGCTGTGCATCTCTGTTTGTCTTTTGGGTGTGTTGTTTTGGGTTTGGGGTTTTTTTTTGTTTGTTTTGGTTTGGGTTTCTTTTTTTTTTTTTTTTTTTACCAGCCTGACAAATTGCTTCTTGATGTGTGTTGGGTTTGTTTGTTTGTTTGTTTGTTTGCTTTTTAAATAGGAAATATTCAGTGAAAGATGATGAAGAGCATGGTGAAAATGAAAGTGTAAACCACTGAAATAAAAGAAATGTGCTTTCTAAAGCTGAGGTCTTCGCAGATGTGTGCAAGCAGACACTCCTCTCACTAACGGAGAGCAATAATCCCCCTTTCCTGGTGGGTCCTTGCTGACCTAGCACCGTATTTAGCTCCAGCTCCTTGAAATCCCAGCTGCCGTACCAGAAGAGGTCAT